TGCACTGCTATTGATTTGTTACTGTGAAATGAGTCTCTTTCAGAAGGAAATTCTAAATTTCCTCCTTTGATTATGTATGTTGTAGCCTGTAGGAGTAAGGCTAATCATTGTGCACCTGCGTGCTTCCTTTTGGCTTACTGTTTTTGCTTTACTTTACATCTGGACTTAGCATGTGGGCTTAGCCACAGTATTGTAGCTTAAAAGAGAGAGAGAGAAAGGGAGACTGAGTCTCTTGTTTGGAGTCACAGCATAATTTATTTGATTGCTGTGTTCGACTGTGATTTGTCAGACTAACAGCCTCTACCCTGATTATTAATGTGGTTGATACATTAGAAAAAAATTTCTAAATAAAGCTGTTTTGTGCTGAAGCACTTATTTACAGTGTCTGGCTGGCGAAAGCGGGTTTTATCCTCTTAGCCATGTGACCGAGAGTGGAAAGTCAGTGAGAGTAACACAATATTCGCTGGCTCTTAATCCTAATGTTTACATTTCAGACGCTCCACTCCTCTCAGTGAATTTACCAGCCACTCTGCTGACTTCATACAGCTGTTCCACTCAGCTCAGTGGCCATTTTGTTCTTGATTCACGCACTGGTACTATTACTGTGTGGTTCTGAGTTTGGACGGACTAGGAGTCAGTCTCTAAGCTAACCCATGAAAGTGCTTTAGGTTCAGATGTAATTTGAGTTTAAGGTACACATAATTTAACACTGTACTGTCTTTTCCTTAGTTTTGTTTATTTTAATGTGAATTGTTATTGTTATAATTATTAGACTGCCAATATTCACGTTTTCAAAGCTCTGTGTGTTCAGCAGTTGCCCACGATCCACTGCATTTTGATTGTGCAAGTACTGACAGTGAATTGTGATTCTATTCAGTGTCTGCTTGTGCTGTGTAATGCCGATTCAGGATCATGAATAAATAATGTATGAAAACAAAACGTCTCGAAGGATCAGTGAATCAGTTATTAAGGAAATGAAACATTGATGCCAGTGTTTTATGCAAGAGTATTTAGCACTGAATATTTCCTATGTTTAAACTCGGCTTTAATTACATGCATTGTAATTGATTTCTTTTTCATTTTGACTACACTTTAACAGTTTGTCATGTCCATGGAAAGGGACTGACAATTAAAAACAAATAAGGGCATAAGAGTTCCCAAAGGAATGTTGTATTTACTTACAAGAGTATTAAATGCTAAAGGGCTCTTAAGGGTGTTGATACACTTCAATGTGTGTTTTGAAAACAAAAAAATGAGGGTTACTTTAGAAAACTTAGATTGTGTGTTTTTTCCATTTTCTTTAATGAACTATATAAGTAATGTAGGTCTGTAATGTTGCCGCCATTTACATTATTGACCAATTAATAGCATTCCCATGACATCACAGTCGCGCTGCCACCGTTTTGGTGGGCAGCATCAAGTTCATTCAGAAGTGCTGTGGCGGTTTGTAAAGAGAGAAATCCATAATTGATCCAGCAAAGGCTGTAGAACACGTTTTTATCACTTTTTTTTAAATCTCATTTTTAAACCTAATTAACTGATATTTGAGTGTGCTGCCTTGATTTTATTTAAATTGTTGCTGTAGCGACTATGAATGAAAGCTGAAAAATAAAATTGTTGAGATTTCCCACTCTATTACTAGTGTCCCGTCCCAAACCACATACTAGCACACTAAACGGTGTATACAAATATCACACATACCATTAGAAGTACACTCATTAGCATGGCAATATGTAGTTCACCAGATTAACTAACTTTCTCCTCGTGGCGTGTTCTGGAGAATGCATCTAAAGTGTCCACATCTTTGCATTATTTACTCCGTTATTTAAAAAATTACATAATTATTTATTTAATCAGGAACAGAACTGAACTGTTTCCTTCACCCGCTGCTATGTGTTCTGAATGCGTGTTTCGAGGTGGCACAACATTATAGGTAAGACTGCTGGCCTACTCCATTATCATATTTTACACAACTGACTGTTTCTGGTTAAATTTAGCTTTAATCTGAAATAATCAAATCTCTGTTTATTAATTAGATTTGGATTAGCCAGGCAACACTAGCGATTTATGAATGGGGGACTAAGCCTTTACTAAGGGGGTCTGAGGGCATGCTCACCAAAATGTCTGTTCACTCTGTACTTTTAGAGTAGCGTTAGGTTGAAAATTGATCAAAAATAATTGAATTGAATAGCTTACTATATCTATCCACTTACAACAGGCATAAAACACACAAAGGTATTAAAGTGAAGCAGTGCTATTCCTCTCTCTTAGATAAGCTGCAGCTACTAGATCTGTTATTCAATACAGAGATTATAGATTGGTACAGTCTCAGTTTGTGCAACCAGATAGAGAGTGATCTTATTCTGTAGTTGCGCTTACGTGTTCAATAGTCTAGGTGACATGGTCATGGTGATGTTTGAAGCCACCCTAAAACCTGCCTAGCAACGCCCCTGCCAGGAGCTAATGTGTTTCACTGCTCTAAGAAGTAGCCTAATCCGTTAGGCCGCTGGTCTACAAGCAGGGAGAGGTGGGTGGCATGATGAGGAGGATTCCCTGCCATTTCTACCAGATCTGGACATGTGGTGGAGGAGAGAGGAGCTACTTGCCAACATGAAGGTTTTTCTGACTGCAGCCGAGGAGAGAAAGACAGATGTCCACTCACTGTTGCAGTGGGTCACCAGTGCCTGTGAGTGACAGCATCGCCTACCACACATTTAAACTGAAAACTGAAAAACGTATCAAAGGCTTGTGGAATTATTCAAAGCGCTGGTGTTATGAACCAGACGTACGAAGAGTTTAATGCCTCTAAATGCCCAAACTTTTTGTACTGGGGGCAAAAGTGCAATGACTATGGTGGGCCGGGGGGGGGGCAGAGAGAATGTAGATAATTTTAAATTGAAATTTTAAAAAGTATATTATAACATGAACTATATTTTGTTACATATGTACTGTATACTTTAGAAATAACATTTTAAAAGGAAAACGTGAGCTTAAAAATGAAGTACAGTAGTAGATCTAAAAGCTGCCACATAAAAAGATATAACGCAAACTGTTCACAAATATTGCCATAATAATAATGTTCTAAACCCCATGTGTTAAACACAAAGCCAGCAGGCCAAATCAGGCACAACCCTATTCGCCCCGCAAAATAAATTTTCTATTAATATTAGCCCATTTCACCATGAGCTGCGCTACAGTTCCCAGCATGCACTGCAACATAATGTGTGCTCCCACCCCCTCCCCAACAAGATAGTTATCTGCAGCTAATGTAGTCTATTTTATATAAAACAAATTGATTTTTGAATTGTTGAAGTATTCAGTGCCTATTTTTCGCCATTGTAGTTTTGGCGTATTTTGAACAAACAATGGCCAGTTGGGGTCGTGGCAAAATGTTAAGCAAAAATAAAACACAGCTGGCCCAGAAATTTGTTGAGATTTTTAATATGGCACTTTCAGTGGTGGAGTTTGACACCCTTGTTCTACACTTTTACACAGAAGGACACTGGATGCCCAACATCGACTGGCACTAGACACGAAAAATAGAAAGGCCATCAAAGACCTGCACTGTTTTCTACAGACAATGGGAGATTTTCAACATGCAGTGATGAGTAAATGGAGTGTCAAGCAAGTTTGTATTAACCAGAGATTCAGAAGATACATTGCCTTTTCCAACAGGTCAGGGAGAACTACTCGAGCCCTGTACATAAGTAGCAGTATGAATTTTATAGTGTGCAAGTGGTATTAAAATGAAATTAGTGAAATGTTTCGTGCACATGTTGATGCCCCTTTTAGATGAGAGTAGATTATAGGTTACATCTGGCAGCCCTGTACCCATGCCAGAGTGACAAATCACTGCCGTTACTGTTTGTAACACCCATGAGACCGAACCTCAGTTTGATCCAGAGGCCGCAACCTCCACCACCCGGCCCTGCCTGTCACCCTTCACCTCTGTCCTGCCCACATTACAAACACTCATCCAGGTACTCTTTGTACTGTATTTCTAGGAAACACAAAATTTAAAGGTGCAGGGAGAGGATAGCTATACGTTAAGGAAAACATTAAGAGGTTAAAATAAATTGAAATCATAACATAGTCATTAATATACACTGACAAATATTTACACCAACTTTTTCTTACCAACAGCTTAAAGCAGATTCCTAAATCAGCTTTTCCAAAGCCCTCCCCTCCATGACTCATAATTCATACAATTCTAAATACTATGCTTAAAAGAGAATAACAAAATCGCAGTATATAGCACCAACCACTCGTGCTGTGACTGAAATAACATGTTGCCACAATTTAGAAACATTTTCCAGCCCCTACTCTTTGCTTCAAACTCTGTGGTAAAAAATGTGATTCATTAATCAGATTAAAAACATAAATTAGTGTTCATTCATATACATGAATGTCTGGTTATCACAGGATCGATGCTTGGAGTCAAGCTGAAAATACTTTTGCAGTAAAGTAAGTACTGTTCTGTGGACATCTGCATTACAAGCAATGTTCTGTAAATTCGACAGCATATTACATGCAAAAGAGCCCAGTTTAAATGAAGAGTTTTCTGAAAATAGAAGATTGCAATGTGGTGTCCCTCAAGGCTCTGTTTTAGGGCCCTTTATTTACAGCCTCCAGGGCACATAATTAAGAAACGCAGTGCTGTTTTTTTACTTTTATGCTGACGATCCTCAGTAATGTGTCGCCTCAGCCAGATTCAGTGACACAGATACACATATTGGACTGGGACTGTCACAGGTTTGGTGACAATGTGGCCAGTAGAGAAGATGCTGCAATCAGTTTGTCTTGCTAGTAAGGCACCTGTAGCCCCAGCTCAGCTCACTTGCCTCCTTAGAAATGAACGTGAACCGTGGGCACATCAAGGCCCTACACACCCTGCAGGCCAGGTTAGGAAATAAAAGGGCTTTTTTAAAGCTCCTGCTGTAAATGTGGGCCACAGCCTAAACCTGTACTGAGAGGCTGTAAAAATGAAGATACTGAGACTATTAATAATAAAACAGTACAGTTGCGGGCAGGACCTTTATTGCAGAAATGTGAAAACACTTTTGAGTGCTGTCTTTTACAGAACAACTGGAGCACAAGACAAGTGTTTCATAGACAGAGTTAAGCTGATGAAAAATGATCAGTAAGCAGGTTATGAAGACCATTATCACTGTCTTTCCCTTATTTCAATAGTTTATGCCACATGTAACTGTATAGAGCACACATACATTTACAACAGTCCAAGAGGAATACAACAAGCATGAATAACTCATACATCTCTCACACACTTCACAAGTACAATTATTACAGATTTTAAATTAAAGAAAGAAATATATCAGTAAATAGCCCTACATATAAGAGCAGAAAATTTGAAAATCTTTGAATCATTGATTAAGCATACAGTTTAACGTGTAATGCTGCTTTCAGTCTCATAATAGTCAACAAAAAATAAGGCTTTCAAAATAGTGTACAAAAATGTATTTAAAAAAATATGATTTTTATCTGCAAAAATCTATTGATATTTGTTTCGTAGCTTTTATAAAGATAAAAAATTTATTTTTGAACAGTCTAACCAATTGAACCTCCCAGAAAATGTCAGGTAGCACAACCGCACTTAAATTCACAGTTTAAAATGTTCTATTTTAATCTTATTTGTGACTCCTAAAAACATCTATAACCTAGTTTTTGTACTTGGACAGATGTATAAACTTTTGTCCTTGGACTCAAGGTTATACATATATTTTTTTTCAGTAAATTAAATATTATTAAATCATTATATTAGTAGCGCACGTTCATGGTTTTCCTTTGGGAATTTGGGTCTTTTTTGTGCAGTGCTCTCTCCACTCTTTCTTAAAAGCATGTCAGAATAATTAGTCCTTTGTTGTCAGTTGCACTGCATGACTTTTGAGGAAAACAGAATTTGTAAATAAAAGTTTTACAGTAAGCTGACTACTTTTAAAACTGTCCTGTTTTGCAATGTTAAAATGTTTAAATGCTTAATCTGTGTATATGGTTGGACGGACGCACCACCTGATATTTTTAGACTGGCAGGAATAAAAACCATTTTATTTTGATGCACTAGAAATCTATTCACATAACAGAAGTAGAATAAAGTGACATATGTCATGTATTTATTAAGTTATTTAATGGGACAATAACGGACTTGGACACAAACAAATGCATGTCATTGACCCATAAATAAACTTAGGCTCATCTCACTGTTAGCTGTGATGAATCACTGGCACTGTTGTTCATTATTGATTTGTTCTGCGCTTTTATGTCGTAGGATGCTTCACGCATGGTAAGGCACAGGCATATGATTTTAAATGAGAGGAGCACCTGTCAAAATGATGATACATGTCACCTCATGTAAATCATCACCAGGCAGCACATCCACCACTCCCACATTGTAGAGGCATAATGTCATCACTTATCAAGTACACGTCCAAGATCTTGGTGTCACCAACTCCCAGAAACCAGTCTGTATGCAGAAAAAGGCAACAAAATGATTTAAATACATTTGTAACGCAGTGGACTAGAATGTGATTGGTGTATGATGTGATATTTCCTCAAAGATTTATCTGCTCCTCCAGCCCCACCAAGTGGCCAAAGTAGTTTTACATTTATCTGCTACTGCAGTTTAGGTCTATTTATAGCATTGTGTCCTGTCCTCCTTCTGGGCCTCTGAATTTGCTCTGAGCTTTAAGTACATCTAACACCATCTGTCAGTCCAGTCATGGAGCTCACATCTAGGGCTTAGCTGGTCTTATAGAGTTAAAACCTAAAACCTAGAGTTAAATCCTGATCACAACTTAATCATCACAGTTTTACTTACTACAGCATCTATACTACATGCTAGTGTGATGTAACATGACATAGCAGCATGCTCTGAATGGTAGGTAGTGGCTCTTACCCCAGTACGTGGACAGTGCACCTGGGCATACCACTCTAGGCAGTACAGGCAAACCTGCACACCTTGACCGATGAACAAACACGTCCACATGATGATGTTCCATGCAGGGCCTTTGCGCTTGTCATTCAGAGTGAAGTTGAAGACCCCTGATGGAGTAAATGCAACACCATATTTTCTTCTTTGGCATTTCATGAGAACATGAATGTCTATCATTGGCACAGTGCAAAAGCCTCATTGGAAAAGAAATCATATGTAGTACCAATGAAAGTTTGGACACATGCACCTGCAATCACTTTTTTTTGCACTCTGTTAAACATTGACAAGTGTACATTTAGATCTCACCCAGTTGGTCGATGCAAAAAAATAAATTTTAAGAAAAACTTCCACCAGGGGGCGTCCAAACTCTTACAGAATGTGTCTGTTTCGTGATGTAGATCATAAGTCAGTCCACGAGAAGAAGAGCTGAAGCTTGAGAAAGCCATAGTTCAGCAGATAGTGGGGAGGGACTGGCCCACTGAATTAGGACATACTTTTTCATCAAAAAATAACAATAGAAACAGAAACTTGCCTTCAGTATCAAAAATACATTCTGCCCTTGTCCCCAGAAGATACAGGGCAGAATGTCTGAAATCATGACTGAAAGATGTTTTCTACCATAGTGTGGGTGCTGTTCCAGAAAATGACCACTTTTTTACACTTTTTTGCATTTGAAGCACAAATTGGAGTAAAATATACATTATTAACAAATTAAAATTTAAGTTCATGAACAGCAGAGGAAATTTGGCAAGTTTTTATAAACATTGAGCCAGTTTTCTCCTGAGATGGACTGGTCTCCTGAGCAGTCCTTTTCCCAAATTTCCCTCACATATCAGCAAGGGTGTAATAATATTTTTAGCAAAATGTCAAACACTATAATAAAAAAAAAACATAAAAAAGTTTAAAAAATCCACAAGTAAGGGTACCCTTTAACAGTAAAAGTATGTTGGTAAAGATCTGTAAAATTACAGACATTTAATTTCTTAGAAATACTATTTTTTACTGTAATTCAACAGTTCATCTGGTTTTTCTGAGTATTTTACCGTCACAGTGGTATATGGTAACACTATTTGTGTATATGATGTGTGTGTATATATATATATATATATATATATATATATATATATATATATATATATATATATATATATGGTATTTGAGGTATGCATATATATATATATGTATATATATATATATATATATATATATACATATATATATACATACATATATATATATATATGTATACTTCATTTTCTTCTTGCAATTATCCTTTTTTGTTTAAAAACAAAAAAAATTAGAACTAAATTTGTATGCTACAGCTGCATTATTTCTATTTTTATCAACAATTATCAAATATTTAAGCAAAAGCCTTAATTTTTTTTAAGATCAAAGTTTATAAAATCATGAAAAACACAAATTTGGTCAGGTGTGTCCAAACCTTTGACTGGTATTGCATACTGATGAAATTCTAAAACACAAATAATAAAAAAAAAGATACAAGGCTGGCACAGTGATGGACCTCATAGCATTAAAGAGGAACTCCACCAATTTTCAAATTATCTGCAAAATGAACCCATTACGATGTAAATAAAGTCATTCAGAGTGGTTTGATGTTAAATGCACCATTCTAGGGAAACTTACATTCATAATAGTGGTGACAGGAACCAGACATCTGATAAGTTTTATCCTCTAAAAGCCTGATATCAGAGATATTGTTTATATCATTTTCATTTTGAGGTTTTGGCATAAAATGTATTGTATTTAATCCGTTCATGGCAGAGAGCTCCATTCAGGATGTTTAAAAGCAAAACAGTCTCCAACTGAGTCAATAAGTTGCTCTGTAATGAACCATCTCACATCAAGCCACTCTAAATGACTTTTTTTTTACATCTCACCAAATGACCTAAGCAGAAATTTTGAAAAATCATTGGAACTCCCCTTTCATATGTGCTTTCTTTGTGAACAGATTACTGCATGTGTTACCTCCGATTACTGCAAAAAGACAGAACATCACAGGGTAGAAGAAGCCGAAGCCCATGGTGAAAGCATACTCGTGAACAACAGCTGAAACTACAAACACGGACAGTGTGGCCACTGGACGGAGACGGTGACCCGATAGCTGAGGAGGAGATTAGGGAAGGTCAGAGGTCAGATCAACAGGGACTACAGTAGTGGTCCCCAATCTCAGTTCTGCGGACCCCGCCCTTTGGGCATTTTTGTATTTTCCCTACTTTAACCCATCTGTAGCAGCACGAGGAACTTGCTAATTAGTTACTGAGGTGATCAGGTGTGCTAGACGCAGGAAAGCAGAAAATGTGCAGAGTATGGGGTCCCCAGGACTGGAAACAGTGCTGTAGGGACTGTGAATTCTAATGTGAGTAAAGTTCAGTGACTTACCCAGAGGAAATCTCGGTAGGCGTAATAATAAAGCCAGTCATGCACCACAATGTTCCAGGTACGGTAGTAGTTAGCAAAAGAGGTAGAATTCCACCAGTCCTAATCATAGGGAAGGGGTAAAATAGTGGTGGTTAGGCCTGTAATTACATTGCATGCATTTAGAGTAAGTAAAGACAGAGGACACTCACTTTGTAGAACATCCGGTCAGCAAAGCGCAGCATCTCTGCAAAGGCATTGAGCCAGCAGTGCAGAAACGCAAAGAAGCTCAGTAACAGCATCAGCATTCCTGGCAGAGCAACACATCACATACAGCTGCTTTAGCAAAAGAGATATAAGCTCATAACTTTCCGAGTACAACACTATAAAGAACAGCTGTTAAAAGGAACCATGGCTCTTTGGCTTAGTATTATTCTGTGAGTTTTACAGAACTTTGAACTGGCAAATTTTACGCAATAATCTAAACAGTCCTATCTCATCTCTCCAAATACATAAACAGCCCCAATACATCTATGAAGATTAGATTAAAACCCACTGTGCATCTGTACTCAATAAATGAAAAGTGGCCACATTCTAAGAAGAAAATTCAGTGACACTTTATTTTGAGTGGTCCTTTTTAGATGAAACAAAGTCTCAACAGACTCTCAGTAACATGTCAAAAACATGTGAGGGTTAGGATTAGGTTTTGGGTTGAGGTTAAGGTTAGGGTTAGGATTAGGGGCAGGGTTAGGATTAGGTTTTGGGTTGAGGTTAAGGTTAGGGTTAGGATTAGGGCGGGGGGGGTTAGGTTTTGGGTAAGGTTGGTAAGGTTAGGTTTTGTGTAATGCAAGTAACATATTAACAACACATCTACTTAATGTAAGTAATGTATCAACAGAACATCAACAAGATATTTACTTCAATATATTCAGATGCTTCACTACTGCTACTTCACTCATATGTTGTTGATGTATTACTGTTTATCTGTTAAGACTTTTTTGTATATTCGTCCCTCAATATTCTCTTATTACAATACCCAGTATGCATTACACAGATACTTCACAAACATTAGAACTCCCCCCACAGCGATAAAGAAATCGTGGTAGCGTTGCCGCTGTTGTAGAGGCTAATAAATACAGATGCAATGCCCAGCTTACTGGAAGTAGAATTAGCTATCGGGTTTCCTTTTGTCAGCCAGCAAACATTCCAAATAGTCCAGCTCCAAAAATTAAGTCCAAAGTGCTTGCAAGTTTTCAAAGGGCCCTTCCACCTTCAACATACATCATCAGAAGGTTTTCCTAGTCTTTAAACTGAAAATCTTGCTCTAGAGGCTGTTGTGGCTCTGCTGAAGGAGGCAAGTAGGCCATTACAACAGATACAGAGATGGTAAAATTTTTCAAGCATAACAATATGCGTGTCTCAGGGTTGCCTAGTATGTTAAAAAAATGTGTAGTATGTACCTGGCAAGGTGGAGTGGAATATAGCCAGGATCAGAGTACGCGTACTGAATGGCCTGTTGCTCTCGTTCATAAGCACAGGGATACACAGACGCACCAAGATGAAGTACAGGTAAAACAGACTGCCCAAAATCTACAACATAGGTCAGAATCAATCATGTCAGAAAAGTCAGTCATTTTAGCAGTAGCAAGAAAAATCAGTCAGTCATACCTTTGCAAAGTTCCTCCACACATAGTTCCATCTTATGTAGGGGTTTCTATTAAAGGAGGGCAAAAAATAAAACACATATTTAGCATGTTGCCTTTTCATGTCATAATGTCAGTGGTCTTTGAATCAGTCAGTAGGAGTGGGCTAATGGTAATACAAAGTGAGGGACATTTACCGAGGGTATGTCTCCCTGTAAATCAGAGTTGGGCAAAACAAGAAGTACAGGTAGCTGGAAAGAGTAGGGAATCTGCAAGCTTCACCTGGAACAAACACCAATTAGAGTCAAATCACACAGGAATACTCGGATCCTGGCTCTGCATTTCTAAAGAACTTGTTCAAATAGGAGGGACTGGTCTAGGATGAGTTCCTATGTCCTTTGGTCAATGTAAGCTTTAGAAGGTCAAGAAAGTAACCTTGCTGGAATTACCTTGCACTGGTTTGGCTCTGAGGACGGCCACAACTGTTTCCCGGATAAAGGAGTAGCTCTTCATTAGGAAACGAATCTGTTGAACAACAAGATCTGGTTATGTAGTGTTGTGAGTTACACTGCTGTGCTCTATGAAATAGACTGGGGTTTGATTCCCCCACTTAGACAAGCTCACCATATTATACCACCAAGAGTCCTTGGGCAGGTCGCCTAACGGTGTGTTTGCGTACCTCGGTGCCATGATCAAACTGTAAATCACTGTGGCTAAGAGCGACTTACAAATGCATAAATGTAAATGTTTTTAGCGTGCATTGTTCTGCAACGGGCATGTTTTGAGCACGGCATTATAGCCTATCATTACGCTTCATTTTAATTTTGTACCAGAACAACAGTTTCATATGGGCTAAAAGCACTAATAAATGGACACATGACACAATTCAACTAACCTTATCCATGTCTGTTGATTCAGTTGAAAATAAACTACAATAATCTACAATCATACTACTATGATTATCTCTGAAAATGATCTTTTCTAGTAAATTTCCCCAGTTGCAAAAAAATATGACAGTCATCAAAACGTTCGTGTTTTTTGATCTGACCATTTTCCTGCATTTTTCTTTCTCTTAGTCTTAATGTACAAAGCTGCATCTGGTCCTCTTTCCAAGGGGAGACAACACTTTGCTTCAGACCCAGTCTCCCTGCATCACCTTCACTTTTATGAACATTCAAAAAGGGGAATTTAATTGAGGGTTATCCTGGAATTTCCTCTGATAGTACCATCTTTTCCATTATGTACTCCTGCTTTCCTTTGGCCATTTTCTTGCTGTTCATGTTCAGTGAGAGCTGCATTATTCATGTGGTTGCACTGTAACATCTGGTTAAATGAGCTTGTGTTATCTGGGTGGTGAAGTGAGTAACATATTGGAATGTTCTACGTTTGCGTTGAGGAGAGAAAAAGACTTTGGACCAGCAGTAAATGGAGGACGCTGGACAAAGTGATCCCTGAGCATAACGCAAGGAAGTTTGTCTCACTTGTTACTCATTGATATGAGTTGTATTTCCAGACTAAACAGCCAGGATGAGCAAATGTCAGCTAAGTTTTAAATAGCATTTATTTTAGTTTTGACTCACTTTTGTGACAACATCTTATATCTGAAAAATGTTTTTTTGTAGAGGTTTTTGTAGAATGAAAAGGTAACATTCTTTTGCAGTCCATGAGTTCTAAGTATTAACTGGTGTAGTGTGTAGTACAAACTTTCAAGTACTAGGTAACTATTTTGGGTAATATGATGGAAACTAGACTGCACTGAAATGCTCAAGAGGTTCTGAGTATTAACTGGGTAAGCGTGTGCTACAAACATCAAATGTGCAATTATTTTGGGTCAAATTAGAGTAAGTAACCAGACAGTCAAACATTTTTTCCTTGAAATTTGTAGCCATTAAGCTGAATAAGGAATAAATAGTAATGTATCTCCTAATTGGATGTTTATTTGGAGCAACACTGTGATAAACATTCCATTCTAAAGTCATGTGTTTAAACAGGAAAGTAAATTAAAATTCTCAAAGAGAATGGTAAAGACTGCTTTACAGCCCAGATTCAGTTCTGCTTCTAAGTAATAGACAGATCCAATCTATATAAGACTCTTACGTCTTCAAGTGAATTTGTACTGTAATTTAGCATGACTGGTTATTTACTTCAGTTTTACCTAAAATAATTTCACAGCACGTGCCCAGTTAATACCTAAAACCTGTTAGGCATTTTAGAGTTATTACCACTTTAAAATAAGATTACCATGTTTTAAAATGTATTATTTATCCATCAGTCAGCATTAAACCTGCTAATTGACAGCTATCAAATATTTCTTAGTAGGTTACTACCATTGTACCACCCACAGGATGTCTTATTAGACAGAAGTGATCATTTGGCCTACAGTAACACATGAAATTACTAGATGAAGATCCTTGTAATATTATTTAATTTGACATTTTCAGCATGTTATCTGCCATCATCCTCATGATTGTCACATAGCTTGATATAATGCTCCTAGGCTGACATGTACACTGGATGCAATTGTAATCTTTGGGGTTGGGTGACATCTTTGTAAGGACAACATTCCAAGTGTGGCACAGTTGTGATAACCTTCCTCTACTGGCTTACTGCTTGCCCACTCTCTACGACATTAGATCTTTGCTGAGTAATAAGACATCCCATTGGTGGTTAAAAGGCAGTAACTTATTAACAAGCATCTGATGAAGCTGACATGTTTAATGCGGACTGATGGAGAAGATAAGGCAAGATAAGGACTGGTTACTTATCCTGTTTTATCTTTTTGTCTTTTCTCCGTCAGTCAGCATTATCTGGGGTTTAACAGTTTAGATGAATGTGGGTTCACTATTTGACAAGCAGCAGGTCACTATTGCCCTTTTTATCTATGTGTTCTAACTAATCAATGATTTTAAGGTGTTTATGATAAGAAATAAGAATTACTAATTCTAAACTAATTATAGATTAAAGAAATAATTTTAAACCATTCATAAACCCTTTAGGAGGGCAGTCATATTGTGAAGTCGCGCATAATTTGGTTTAATTGTCCTGGAACTTACTATGATGTTACCCAAAATTATATACTGGTTCTTAAGTGTGTACCTAGAAGTTAAAGGGCCCAATTCATGGAAAACCAGTCAGCATTTTTTAAATAATATGGTTTGGTGTGGTATGTAAACGTCAAAATTTCAAAACATACTCGTCACTTTCCAGACCATATATGGAAACTTAGTGCCAAAAACAGCCTATTTGCACTGTGTCTGTGATGTCATGAAAAAACAAAACATTTACACATATTCATCTATTCAGCTTATAACAGTTACAAGAAGCGTTTTGAGCCTTGACATCTTCTTGAATGAAGCACAACACAGGGCAGCCAATCAGAGCAGAGGCCCTTTACATATATCAGTTTTAAAGGCATAAAGGTAACAAAAACAGCCTGTTTAATTCTAAAGAATACAAAGTTTGGAAAATGGTCATTTAACAAGGACTTATGACTGTTTTTGCTGCACAAAACCACAAAGATATTGTAAGTGGAACGCTGATGCAAAAGTAAAATGCTAGAAAAATGTAGGACCAAGAAAAAAACATTGTACAATTTAATGTATGTTAATGTAAGAAGATATTTCTGAACACTCCTGGCTGGTGTTTTTGAAATGTTACATGAAAAATATAAAATTTGTTTTAACAGCAATAATATGAGACTTTAATTGTGACTAAATCAACTTGTTCTTGCTTTCTTTTGCAACTTGACAGTACCTGTTCTAGGATGATGATTAAACGCGATGCTGGGGGCAGCTGGTAGTGCAGGACCACATACACAGGGAAATACCCCAAAAAGCCCATCTGAGCCACCAACAGGGTCACAGCTGTGGCCACTGACACTGACATCTTCCAGTGGCTAAGATGGTACAGCTCTGCCCACTGGCTAAGAACAGAGTACGGTCCAAGCAAGGTGTAGCTGAACATGATGAGCCAGGCCCATATGACAGTGCCCAGCTGGCCAAAGGCATAGAAGAACAAGTCGAAATCTAGAACCAGTCTGAGATTAGGACACAAGAAGCAGTTAGACTTGCACACTTTGTAGCACAGCTGCCAATGTTTCTGAGTAAAATAGGATGTTCATTGCAAATGAGTTTAGAAGAGGCATAACAGGTATGATGCACACCTTCCCTGGTCAATGTAATCCACTGCCAGTGTGCTGATGATGAAGAGGAAGAGAGCTGCGATGAACATGTGATAGATGGTCCTGATGTGACTGATCTCAAACAGTTCACTACAGTGAGAAAGAGAAATTATAGAATTTATCATTTTGTCTGAATAATTCTTGTATTACTAATACACAGTATTTCATATTCATTTTCTATTCAGACTTACTCAAGTATGGACCGTCTGGCCACAAATACCTTCCCATCCTCCATTCTGTGTCTGAAATGATAATTATCCATTCAGCTTTTTTAACTCCACTCTATTATACTGCAACAACATGGTTCTTTTTCTATTGTGTGCAAGATTACGTTACTCAGCTTGAGCATTCTCACCTCCTAGCTTTCTCATCAATGTGTGAGCTTGTACTCCCGACTGCATCTGAGTGTGTGCTTTGGGAGAGGGACTTCAGAGACTCTGTTAGTGCTTTGTCCAATATCTCACTCATCTGAACCTTCACTTGTTCAATGACCTCTGCTTTTATCCTCTGATTAGAGAATGGTAAAACACCATCATGTGTTTGCCAGGACATTAACTACTTCGTAAAACAACAAATTGCAACCTGTTATGCTCATTAACTTTAAATCCTTACAAGGAAGTCTTGAAGACTAAAACAGAAAATCTTTTTTTACCTCCACATCTCTTGCCCATTGCACCATGTCTTCTGAATGAAATTCTTTGTGACCGGAATCTGCAAATGTGAAAATTTACATCCTTTTGTATGTTTTTCTTTTTGTGAGTTCAGACCAACATATGGTTGTAGAATGAGAAGCGACTGTAGGGCTGTAAAGGTGGAACTCTGAGAACTTGGGCTGAAGTTCTGGATGGGACGCTTCTGCTCTAGGCTAGTAGAGTCATTTATTATATATAAACTTACAGTCAAAACAGCCATTAAGGACAAGTTATTTGCTCTTTCTGAGAAAATTAGATAAAAGATAATCCACTTGCATGAGAAAGGAGAAAGAGAAAAATAAGTGAAAAAAAATGGAATTTAAAGAAATAATTAAAAGATATGGAGAAAATGGGACTCCTAACAGCTGTACAAGACTTGGTAGACCAACAAAACTGTCCCCATCAGATAAACAGCACTAAAGCTTTACAGGTGTTTCTCTCCATTTTTCCATGGTGAGAAGACAACTCAGCGCTACGGTGTACAATAAATCAACTTGCTTAGTAAAGCAAACTATTTCCATTTACAGTGTGCAGAATTCTTTGAAAAACTGAAAGCAAGTGTCTTGAAAAGAATGGAAACTGTAAAAAAGACAAAGCCTCACTAAAAACTGAAAAATTTGATATTATATTCAATTGTTGAGGCTGTTTAGACTGGAAAGTAAGCAAAAGAAGGGTCTCTGACTTTTACACTGTATTGCATTTTAGTTGTTTTACACACACACACACACTAATGTTTAGGCATAGATTCTCATGTTATTCTTTTGGGATCCTCAGACATGCTCCCCACAACTACACACATTCCTTGTTGTCCAGCGCACACAGTTTTTAAGGGCCCTAACATTCCAGTAGTGCATTGTGCTAATGCACTAATATTTATGTGCAGAGGTTACAGCTTTTCATGGTCATTACAGTGCAGTTTTATCTTAAAAAGATACGTTCGGCTCTAACTACCTGAAATGGACAGCACACATCAAAGTAAGGTGTAAGGGATCATAGATCCAGGTAGGATGTACAGTTTAATACGCACCCTGTCTGATAGAGCCATTCTCTGTGGGAGACGGCCTGCTGATGGTTGTCTTGCCATGGTTGCGATGCACTGCACTGCTGCCTGAGTTGTTGGTTGCCATTGTTACTATGGTTTCAGGATGTTTCGGTTATAATTTATGAGTCCTGATTTGATGTCTGTGGTAGAAAGGAGAAAACGTTAGATATAAATGCAGATGATTCCTCATTACCGTCATAAAAGCATAGAATAGAATAGAACAGAACAGAACTTAGGTGCTAGTAACTGGTTGCATTTACATACATTTTTTTTTTCAGATTTCAACTTTCAAATGCCAAATTGCCAAAGATAATGGCATCAAAGGTAACTTAGTGTCCAGACAATCATTTAGACCAAGAGTGCATCAACAAGATAAGAACAGGGCTGTGGCTAGGATACTTTTACTTCTACTTGACTTATTAATTCACAAAAGTACCTGTATTTTTGCTTGATTATGGGCTGAGGCTACTCCATTTTTTTGCCTAATTAGGATAACAGTAAAATACATGAACATTTAGCGCCCCCAAACCTTGTGAACTGCAAAGTCATTTTGACCTCTAGTTACCTGTGGTGTTTTTCTGGGATATCATCCCCACAATGTGAACAAGGATCAGCTTGTCCTGAAGGGAGTTCACTGCTTTATCCCAGATAACTTACAGATAGGTAAAAATGAGTGTTTGGCTGAGCGAGTACACAGTATTGACAGGCAGATAGAGAGAGGTCACTGACTGACAGTAACCTGTGTCTATCCCCGAGTCTGTGACGCTGCTGTCTTGGTGTGCATGGCTGACTCATATCAAACAAGAACAAATGACTCATGTTTAACATGTACCTTTTCATCTTCCACGATAATAATAATGAACTTTAGCTTGTTTTAAATTTATCACAAAGGATATTGGCTACAGAAATGCTTTCCACATGTTTGAGATGTGTCTGACTATCTATATGTATCTTTTTAATTATTATTTATTATTGTAACAGATTATTATAAGCTAATATGACTTGGATAAATGTTGCGGTTGTAATGTTTGATGTTCATTTTTTATGGATGGGTTGGAGAGCAGTAGAGTATAAGAGTGCCAGAGCACCATTTAAAATTTTCTTTTGGAAACATTTAATCAGTCAATATTAAAAGAAATGTATCCTACATTTGATTCCACAATATTATAAAATATTTCACATCTCCCTTAAACAAAGCATATTTAAAGTGTAAGTTAACCATGAGAACATCACCTATAATTAGCGTTTACATATATTGTAAATTCACTTCAGATTTGAATCCATTTAAAAATACTTCAAGTTATGAATGCTTCTATTTAGATTAAATATGTGTGTATTTACTGAGATTATTATAGTTCTATTATGATCCTGCATTGTGTCTGATGTGTCATTAATGATCTTGATTCTAGTCAAGTGATTGGCATCATGTCAAATTGGCAAAAGAGGAGAAAACATCATAAAAACAAAACAGATGTAAAGGTGACTGAAAAGTGCATGTTTCTGTAAATCACAACTTTCCACAAATGTGAATTTACTATATATTTTCATCTTTGTAGGTTCAAAATTATGAGAAAGTGTAAATTTGCACTTATATCTAAATAAAGCACTTTAAACTTGACCATAAAACCCTCTTTAATGGTAGTGTCATCATTTATAAAGCCAGGCATGCTACAATTGCCTTCTTAATCAACATTAATGACCTCACATTATGCAGTGTGTGGATTCCACCTGACCATCTGACTAAGCATTCTTGAAGTAGAAATAGAAAATATATATATATATATATATATATATATATATACATACATACATACATCATCTAAACCGCTTATCCTTCTGGGTCGTGGTGGGGTGCTGGAGCCTATCCCAGCTGTCATTGGGCGGAAGGCAGGATACACCCTGGACAGGTCGCCAGTCCATCGCAGGGCAGTATATATATATATATATATATATATATATATGATTTGAAAATGCCTGTTGTCCTTTTACATTATGTGTAAATTTCAAAAGAAAGGAATGTGTAAATTTCAAAAGAAATGGCCCAAAACGACTTGGACAAAAGTCTGGTTCCATTGACTTACATTAAGTTTTCTTCCGACGAGAGAGAGAGAGAGACAGAAACGACCCAGGTCACTGGCCGGGAATCGAACCCAGGCCATTCTTGCTGTGCGGCGACAGTGCTACCCACTGCGCCACTCTGTATGTATGTATGTATGTATATACATACACTTGTTTTGAGTCACTCAAAGCATAAGGATTGTAGTCTAAAGTCCAACTCTATTAGAAGTCTGTTCTAAACTCTGAGTTTGAACTAATTTAGTAGAATGAGCCATATCATTTTCTCAGATGCCTAAAACTTTTGCACAGTTTTTTATTTAATTTGTTTATTTATTTATTTGTTCTTCTAACCAGCTCATATCAACTATGTCTCTAAAACAAGAAAGCCTTGATACTTTCTACATTTTTACAATTATGTTTATTTGTATTCTTTCTTATGTAGTGTTATGTAGTGTTTTTACAGGTCATAACACCCTCACATTATATTATAGCAGATAAGAGTATGATCATAATTTATAATTATAATTATATTCTTTAATTATAAAATTAAAATATTGTGTCTGTGTTTTATCTTTTTGTCTCTTTTTTGAGACAGAGTATATTCTCAAAGAAAGCCATTCATTACATCAAGCGTCTTTTATGGTTATAATTATTTTTTAAAAAAAAAGACAAAAAAATTATCTTTGCCTCAGCTTAGATTTTTTAAGATAAAATATTGGACATCACTGTTTAGTCAGTAAGCCAAGTAGTTGTAGCCTTTTTCACCAGATAGTGTAAACACAAAACATCACTTCTCACTCAGAGCAGGGCACTCCAAACTAGTGATGTGATAAAGCCACTATAATGAGTGGCAGGAAGTCTTTAGATTACACCACAGTCGTGCTCATGTTGACTCACTGCTAGCTGATTTAGGAAGATAAATCTTCAATGGCAGACAAGGTTGTAACAAGTTTCTTATTAAAACATACTATTTAGGTCTATAGTGTCTTCCTGAACTCACCTTTCACATGAACCTCCTCTGAGGATCAGACCCTCCACATCATTCCTCTGAGGACCAGGACCGACCGTGTGTGTTCTGTCCGGAGTCTGCCAGCTGCGTGTGAGTGTATGTTTAAGACCTCTGTCCCTTTGTTACCTCTGCCCTGACTTTTCCCTGCTTTCTGTGTCCCAGCTGCACTCCACAGCTCAGCCGCCGTCTCTTCTCCAGCCCTGGGTTCTACCTGTGCCCCCTTATTGATCTGTTTGGCCACCAGCCCCCCTTTTACTGATCTTTGTCACATCTGAACTTCAGTTTTCTAGGTCAGAGAAAGACCTCTCGTCTTTCTTTCTCACTTGCTCTGTCTCTTGTTTCCTCAGCATTAACATTCAGATTGCTGATGATATCAGGGCTTGATTGCATTATCTGTCACTATCTGCATTTTCAGCAACAGGCACAGGTGCCTCCTACGAATGTGAACTCTGTTAAGAGCCTTATCTGCTTTAAAGGGGCACAGAATGAGAGGCTGGATTTGGTTTTGGGCCAAACTCTCTCTGTTGTTGATGCATTTGGACTTTAGTGCCATTGACTGTATCCTTATGGTAACTTTAATTGCCCTTTATCTCTGTAAGGTTCTCGGCCTGTGTGACCCAACTACAGTTTCCATTGTTATCTCTCTTTTCTTTCCTTCCTCTACACTCTTAGCAAAAAGGGCTTTACACAGTATACAAAACTATTTTTTGGACTTGTAACAATAGTGGAAGTATTTTTGGTGCTATATGGTAAATTCTTTTAAAAGGTTCTCCAAAGTAACATATACAACAGCTTATCAATCACAGATAAGAATCATTTGGCTATGCAAAGGACCATGCATTCATGCATTCAAATGGTTCTTTGTGTTCACGGTTCTATATATTCTTTTTAAGGTCCTACCAGCATATATCAGCATCACTCTTTTTAAAAGAGACACAAAAAGAGTTCCTTGGAGTGACCATTTTTTTGATTCCTTAAAGAACTTTTCCACTGATGAATCATTCAAAAATTGATTGAAAGGCTCTTTAGGGAACCAAAAGTGGTTCTTCAAGTCAATTCTTGTTTTTTTTAGACACTGATAAGCACAAACATGGAGAGACAAACACTGGCAGTTGAATGGATCATACTAATGAGCTCAGTGACTTTAAAAAATGGCACTGACATAGGATGCCGCCTCTGCCACAAGTTAATTTGTGAAATTTCTGTACTGCTAGATCTGCCCCAATCAACTGTAAGTGCTACTGTTGGGAAATGGAAGCATCAACAACAGCTTAGCCATGAGGTGGTAGTCTACACAAACTCACAGAGTGGCACTGCTGAAACGCACAGCGGCTGTCTTCTGTTGAATCACTCACTAACATGATGTAAAGCATGCAACCACTGGACTCAGTTGAAATGTATTCTGTGGAATGATGAATGACGCTTCTCTATCTGTCAGTCTGATGGACGAGTCTAGATTTGGTGACTGCCAGGAGAACGTTACCTGCCTGACTGCATTGTGCCAACTGTAAAGTTTGGTGGAGGAGGGATAATGCTGTGGGGTTGTTTTTCAGGGGTTGGCCTAGACCCCTTAGTTCCAGTGAAGGGAAATCTTAATGCTTCAGCAGACTGAGACATTTTGGACAATTACGCTTCCAACTTTGTAAGAAGTAAGAAGAACCTTTTCTGTTCCAACATGGCTGAGCCCCAGTCCACAAAGCAAGGTCCATAAAGGTCATGGCTGGGTGAGTTTGGTGTGGAAGAACTTGACTGGCCAGCACAGAGCCCTGACCTCAACCCCATCAAATACCTTTTGGATGAAGTAGAACAGAGATTGCAAGCCAGGCCCTCTCGTCCAACATCAGTGTCTGACCTTACAAATGCTCTTCTGGATGAATGAGCAAAGAAACCCCTAAGACACACTTCAAAATCTTGTAGAAAGCTTCCCAGAAGTTATAGCTGCAAAGGGGAACAATTCCATGTTAATGCCTATGGATTTAGAATGGGGTGTCACAAAAGCTCCTGTAGGTGTAATGTGTAGGTGTCCCAATTATATATATATATATCATATAATTTTCTTTAATTTAGTTTTATCCCCCCACAAGTTCACCTATGTCATTTTTGTGTTGTCGTTTTTTACAGGACCATTTTCAAACCTCTCTTTATACCTTAGAATCAGTGTCTTTTTGTTATTGTGCTTTTGAGATGCAGTTATTTGTAAACGAGCTCTGTTCTGACTGGCTGTCCTTTACATTGTGTAAATGTTTCGTGACAAATAGAAATGGTCAAAAATGACTTGGAATAAAATCTCATTACAGCAAAGTACTTTAAAGGACCCATATCATGGAAAACAAAATTTTTCTCACTGTTTTGAAATAAAAGAGTTTGATGTAGTATGTAAACACAGTAAACACTGTCTGTTAAAGTTCCAAATGTTCACTCCTCAGTCTATACAGTCCATGTACGGAAACTAATCTGCAAAAACAGCCTTTTCTGAATTCACTGTTTTTGTGATGTCATGGAAAAACAAGGCATTTGCATACATCCTCCTCCACTCATTCATGCTGATGTTATAAAGTGTGTTTCAGTTTGGACTGCCTCTTGAATGAGGTACAATATAGGGCAGCCAATCAGAACAGAGCTCATTTACAAATATCACTAGCACTTTCAAACTGTGTAAAACAATAATTAAAAAAAAATAGAAATGAAGTTATTAATGAAGTTTTAATGCGACAGCGATGACTCAGAAAAAGAAAACACTTCTGATGTTCTTCTCTGTCCCCTAGGAAGATTATGAGGAAGATTACCTCATTATCACAGAAAAAGATGTTCAATCTCAGCAAACTAATCCTAACTGAATCTACTTTTCATTCACAAACAAGTCAAATCCATTTCAAGCACAGCATGTAGACAGGATTCATTTTATTGAACAGCACTTTCTGATCTGCTACAGAGGCATGTTGTGCGGCATGCACTATATCTATAGTCACAAGAGAACGGCAAAAAGCAAAGGGAAATAAAAGAAAACTGTACAAACCACTGGCCCATATGCGTAAACATTGTAAGCCTTCACTACATCACATTTCTCCATGTTGAATGGCTACTGTATCATAGAAACAAAATACACGTTGGGTCAGTCTTTTGCATGCAGAGTCTAGCCCAGTCCAGAAAACAAGCTTGTAGTCCATAAAACAAACCACAATTAAACCATTGGATCTCAAATCAGAGAGAAAGTAGTGCACAAATCACAATTTTCATTGATGGGTTAAAGTTTGTGGCCAGTCAGTCAATAGTCTTCACAGAACTTGTGAAATGCGTTTAGCAGGATGCAAGCCAAGTTACATCATCGGTGTACCCAAATAGACCAAATGCCTATTTGCTTTCCACATAAAAGTGCCTCTGAGTCTTTTGCAGTGACCCCCATTTTCATCATCATTGCATTTGAGTTAATTTGTATGCTGTGTTGGGATTTCTGGAGCTTTCTTTTAAGGCGCTGTGGCCTGCCTTATTCTCTCATCCTAACTGGCTGATTAGGAGACGTGGAGAGATTCTGGCCAAGCCTACAAACAAACTGAAAGATACAGATTCTTTCCTCTATGAGATCAGGCCCATACTGAGCGATGTGACTGGGCCTGTTCAGTAGTATGCCTGGGTGTGTGTGGAACTATGCTTCCAAGTTTTATCGATCTAAACCCTGATCCATGTTGGAGTCACCCATCTCATTATGCCCTGATGGTAGACAGTTGTTGCTGTCAGTTTAAAACCTCATGACCCCGATTAAATTTTTCTCTTTAATTTCATTAAACCACATGAAAATATAAGTTTCTCTTCTGCAAATCTCAAGAAATCAACCTTCATTGATTTAATTTCCAGTCAAAACGGCCATTAAATATAAGTTATTTATTATTGGCAGAAAATATTTTTAACAGAAAATTACCAATTTTACAACTATCATATTTTTCATCATATTTAGTGTGTCTACAGCTTCTATTCTTCTCAGGATACTGGCTTTTAGTTTTTCAAAGAAATGTGCAGGGATATTTTTTCACACTTCCCAAGTTCAGTCTTAGAAGTTAGTTGCATTTCCTGCCTCTCACAAGTAACCCTAAGCACATTCAGTGATGTTGAGGTTTGGACTCTGGAGTGGACAGTCCATTCTTTCTGAGAACACCAGCAGCTTCTTTGTTTAACTTGCAAATGTTCTTCTTTTTTTCTCTATTTCCTTTTCTCAGTGAGGCTTCTTGACAGCTACACATCCTTTCAGACTCAAGTGTTGAGTTGTCTTCTCACAGTAGAAGGATGGACAGAAACACCTGTGGATGTTTTCAGATCTGAAGCAAGAGTGGAGCTTCATTTTCTCCTCTCTCTCAAAGATGAAAGCTTCAGCACTGTTTATGTGATGGGGACAGATTTGGTGTCTACCAGGTTGTATCCCATTTTCACTGTACCCATTTGGAAAAAAAATATATTCCTAATGTCTTTGTCAAATATATTTTTGCAATGTGTGCAAATGGCCAAATATTGCATTTGTTACACAAAAACTGAATGAAAAGTACTGACTTTGCATTAACCATGTACGTATGTGGTAAGACAGCGCTCACACAAAATGGACTGGAAATAAACAAGATATCAAATCATAACTGCATTTCCACAGTATATCAATACCTACAACACCTGGTTTTGCCATGTTAAAGGTTCACTTACTGATATTAAGATGACTTCCTTACTAAAATTAAGATACTGGAATACAGATTCATTTGAAAAGGTATCCAAACAGTAAAGTGCATTAGACAAGCATTTTGGCTATTCTCATACATTTTCAAATGTATCTGGTAAATATGTTCACATACATTTATTTTTGTATGGTGCATTTCTATGTGTGATATTTCCCCATACATTTGAAAATACATGTATTTTAAAACATGTTTGGTTGATATGGCAATATATTCTGAAATACAATTTAGCATTTGGAATATATTTCAGAAAGTATTGCACTGTATTTGAAACATATATTAAATATATAAAAAATACATGTCCACATTTTTTCTATGTGGGTCCATCTTTTAAACAGTTTTTGAACTGTTTCTTCACTGTATGTCTGTTTTGACTGGAAATTACACAAACAAAAGGTGGTCTCTGACTTTTGCACAGTGCTGCATATTAAAAGTAATAACTTGACTTTTAACTATTTGACACATTCACTATTCACACAAGTGCCTTTTAATTTTATTATTACAAACATATATCTCTTGATTTATTCACCCTCTCAAGATTCAGCTCCTCTATTCATATGATGAACTGTAGTCTACTACATAGAGATAGAATAAATAAGATAAATCATTCCTATAAATTTATGCACACCAAATATATATGTATAGGTATATGAACAAATCAATGCATTCATTTAATGCTATGTATAAAAATAGTTGCTACACATTTCTCTCTATAATCTCATACGCTTGCTTTTCAGCAAGACAACATATAAGTGCCTCATACGTTACACAAAAGTTCTGTCTACAAATGCTACAGTAACCCATGACAGTTCTCCTATAGCCATTTTCAGTTGTTAACAACTATTCCACCAATTTATGGAAGATTCATCTATTTCTTTAAAATATGATTTGGGAGATGAGTCACTAAGATCATGCTGCAGGGGGCGTTGTGTGTAAGTGGAGAGCAGATTTGAATTCCCTTTTAAAGGGTTCCCCACCACTGCATCTGTTTAGAACATGCCTGTTGTGGTGCTGCAATTGTTTCTAAACCAAGATTTCCTGCTTTAAAGACCAAAAACCTCCCTTCTGATGATGCATCTTGAAGGTGGCGGTGAATTTTGAAAGACTAGAACTTCTACAGGGTGGACACTTTTTCATTAGCTGGCTAATAGTTTAACTGAATTATTCCCTAAACAAAGAAAAGTCTGATGACCAGCTGAGGTCAATGCTATATCACTAATGCTAGCTTGCAGATATATTTATTAGCCTCTAGATTGAAAACATAAAAACAATACAAAATTGTGAGCTCAAAAGCATTCTGCACTACACAACCTAACAAACAGCATAATAAATCCTAGTTTTAAAGCAGAATCCCTCTTTAATTCTAATTCCACCTCTAATCCTGAGTCAAAGAATTTCTAGTTAGGGAGAACTGCAACTCGAGTATCTCATCTGGGCTGGAGCTCCAGTGTTGTTTGCAAGAGTCTAAAATGAATGGAGGCCTAATGAGCTTTTGAGGAAAACTGCAATTTGTACTAATCAGTACTAATTACTAAACTAATCAGCATGCAGCAGCATTAATGCTAGTGTGCTACTGTCAAAAACCTATTTGACAGTACGCTTTACTGATTTTTTTATGTAATACATAATTCAATTTTCAAAATGTCTTCCTTTTAAGAAAGTTCCTGTGTGAAAGACTAGAAATATATTTTCTTAACATTTTTAGCCACGTCCCCTCCCATTCACTGAGAACTTTAACATTTTTCAGTCATGTTTTTGACACAATGGGTTAGAAATTGGAAGTGTGCAGGCTCCCCCTAAACTGGCTCTGAGCTGAGCCACTAAACAGTGCCCCCTGCTGGTCGTGGGTTTGCCTTCAAACCTTCCTACCTCTTCCCAGTCCCATTTTAAAAAACATAACAGGGGATTAGATGAAACAGTACCCTCAGAATGTGTCACGCAACAGCTTACCACAGTGCATTTCTCTCAATGAATTAATATTACATTATATGGAATACAAGAACGTAACGGGAGATGGTTTAATAGATAATAGTCAGAGGGCCGTCACTGAGGATTTCTCACAGGCAGCATGCACATATACAGAACAGGATTCACAATGTACCACCTGCAGAGAGACAGACAGAGACAATTTCCAAAACATTTTACATGTTAATATAGTACTGTAGTACTGAAAAGAAAATATATATATAATCAAAGTAATTTTGGGTCATTTCTTTAAGTCCAGTTGCATGATTCCATATGTATTCAAAGTGTCATATCTTCAGTATTATTTAAAAAAGTAGAAAACAGTAAAAATAAAGAATATTTACTATATTTTAACTACATTTTCCTACTTTGTTGAGCTTTGTGTTTATCTGCTCTGTTATGTGTACCATTTGGTTACCTGCCCTAGGTGATTAACTGGCTGCAGGCTCCTGCTGGATAATGTGTTGTTGTTTTTGTTGGAGTTGGTCAGCTGGGTCGTTGCAGTGCCCATCACTGCTACACACAGAGAAGTTACTGAGAGGCACGCTGTAGCAGTGGGAATGGAAGGTAATAGCAGGCATTAGTGACCACACAGAATGACCCAGCAGCACAGAAGAAGGCAAAAATTGGTTTTGGTATCCAGGCACGAGCCTTTGTGAGTATTTAACAAATCACTCACATGCATTTAATATTACATGTTCTTCACAGCTTACCTGTTGTCATTGATGTCTGTGGCATTCCCTGTGAAGAAATACCAACATTAGGTAAATACCAATGCTGTAATCAGTGCTATTGACAGCCTGTTGATTTAAAAATGGTGTTTAGGATCTTTTATGAAATAACTCCAATCAATTAGTTGGGATGTGCTGCTATTGCACAATTCCTAGATAAGAACTCCTATGGCTCACATCGCTATTGTATAATACTCAATATACATGTGATTGTGCATACTATATTGTGCATTAATGCAGCAAGACATTTAAAACAGGGTCCTATTATTGGAATAGCAATTATGTTCCTTGGCAATCATAGCTTACTGTTAATGAACTGTATTACTGTTTTTTGTGATTATTATTGAAAATAAATGTAATTATTTATTGAACATTGGTGTGTTTTATCATTCTGTCACCATGTTATCTCTCCGCTTTGTTCTATGCCTAACAAAATGATAAAATCACTTTAACACAAAGCTCTTCAAGACTTATTGCTTTAATCTGAGCCAGGAAGCAATGTCAGATCTTGCCGAGAGCTACAAAAAATACACGGTGTGCTCCCTGTGAGAGTTGTTTTCAGAACCTGTGATGTAAGGCAGTAGTCTACCGTTTGCTATGTTGAGCTTGTGAGAGGAGTCCAGAGACTCTGTGGCATTGGCTGTCCTGTGTCTTCCCTCTGGAGCTCTGTACAAGATGGACAAATACAGACCTTACTTCACTACACAAAAAGAGTATACATCTAGAATATTAATGAATGTATGTATATATACACAAAATGAAACATTAACACTGAATAACTCACTTGTTATTATGACTTATGTTAGTCTTCATGTGGGTTGATACAGTGGGTGAAAATGGAGGTGGAGCAGCACTCTGGAACAGTGCGTTGCTAAACGTGATGGAGGGATCACTGCTGCGAACAAACATGTGATTGACTGGAGGGCCGACCGGGTAGTGACCTGGTCGAACTGGTTTGGCTGAGCACAGGAAATAAAATACAAAGCATTTTAATGCAAACCTATATAAAATATAAATGTTAACAAATTATGTTCTCCACACAAAGTCAAAGCACATTTGTCTGTCAATTTACACAAGAATAAGCTCCTGAAAAAAATGTATTCTATGCTCTTCCACTGAAATTTTTATTTATTTATTTATTTACTTACTTACTTACTTACTTATTTAAATGGGTTTATCTTTCACAAGATCAGCATTAAAAGTCTGTCTTCCACACAAAAAGTCTAGGTAGTCATACACCTGAGATCAGATTAATTAATTGATTTTAACAGCACCTTTTTTTATTTAATGAAATATAATAAAACCACTAACTTTTACAGTAAGGTCTATCCTAAGACACAACAAGGCTTAAACTGTAAGATTCCTTTATGTTATGGTTGTTTTTTTCTGTACTGGAATTAACTCCATGACTGCAGTTGGTGACCTTGTTGTAAGGCTCTGATTGAGTCTGAAATTTTGGTCCGAACCCAAATACAGCCCGAGAATTTTTTGTCTGAGCCTGACCCAACCTACAGCATTGCAGGCCAAACCTGACCTGAGACAATTACAATTCTGTTCAAAACTGACCTGACCCATCATCATCACCCAAAATACAGGATAAAACCTGATATGATATCACTGGTTAAATTACCATGTAGTGACAATAACAGGCATTCTCAGATCATGGACAAACTAAATAATAAAATAATAAAAAAGAAAATTGTACAAATTTATTCATCAAGCAATGCTTTCAAAAACATCCTAAACTTTTCTTTAGTCTGGTTAAATGTTCTGTTCTTATGCTGTGCAGAATGCCAAACTGTTTTGAAGTAGTGAGAGAGGAAGAATAAAGTGGAGAGAGAAAAGCAGAGAGAAATGGAAGATAAAATCCATTAAAATAAAAAGATAATAAAGATAAAATAAAAGATTACTTCAAAATCTAAAATTTGACATAAGCCCAACACATACAATCAAAAGTTTGTGCGCCCTTGGTCAATTGATATGTTTTGATGATTTTCTGAAAGTGAAAAAAGGTTCACATCAAATATTATCTGGCATATTTAATGCATAAAACTATGTTTATTTTTTTAGAATATGTTAAATTAGCAAAAAAACACAAATTGTGCAAAATCACAATTTGTGACTGGGGTGTTCAAACAGGTTCAGACGAATATTTCAAGCTGTACTATATTGCTTACTGCCTTTAATTGTATTACTTGTCCCATTATTTTCTTATCAATGTTGACATTACATTACTTAATTGTTGCAGTGTTTAATCTGGCCAATAGGTGTTTTGTAAGATTTCTGACCAATCAGTGCAGCGTGAGGGCGACGGAAGGGGTGCCTGGCTCTCATCACTTCTTTGATGCGCTCCACCTCCTGCTGGTAGCGGCGCCGGTCCTTCATGGCGCCCTCCTTTGCCTCCTTCAGTGCATCTTCCAATGCCCGAACTCGCTCAGCTGTAGAACGAAGACGCTTTTCCAGTTTAGGAAGCTCACAGCGCAGATCTGCATTATCACGGACAAGCTGAGAGAGAGAGAGAGAGAGAGAGAGAGAGAGGGAGGGAGAGGGAGAGAGAGTCCATTTAGATAGTACTGAGATAAGAGTGAAAAACAGGATTAAAAAAGAGGGATAAGAGAAAACAAATGAGGTGAAGTGATGGTATTGTGAAGGTGGTGATGTGCATGTGTATCACATCTGAGCACACTGAAGAGATTGCATATGTGGGGGCACCTTGATTAATGATAGAGCTTTATTGGTCATTGGAGACATTCAATCGATTCACTGCCCCTGCAGAACATGCAACCATATCTTGCAATTTATTATTACCAATCCACAGTGAAATCACTGACCTGTTTGTGTACTTTTGTAAGCTGGTCCAGGTTGTTCTCAAGAAAGGAAATCTTCTGCTTTTGAGTGGAAAACCCCCCACTATCATCAGGCTCCATTTCTGCACTCTGCAAACAAAAGACAAAAACAGTACTGTGCAAAAGGCAGAGACAACCTCTCGTTTATTTCACTTCCAGTCAAAACAGTTTCAGGTTATTCAGTTCAAATTGCTCAGATTTTAGGAAGTCTTTCTGAGGAGATTAAATATGAGGTCAAAAATTCACTAAAAGATACTAAGAAAATGGGACAAAATGGGACTAACAACCATACAAGACCTTGTAGACCACCAAAATTGTCAAAAACAGATAAACAGTACTAGAAGAAAATCAAGCTTCACTCTTGCTTCAGATCTGAAGAAATCCACAGGTATTTCTGTTTCTGTCCATTCTTCCACTGTGAGAGGACAACTCACAACTCAAAGCAATGGGTCTGAAAGGATGTTTAGCTCTAAGATTTCTTATAAAACTGAAAGCAAGTCTCCTGAAAAGAATGGAAACGTCAATAAAGGCAAAGGGTGCACAAACTAAATACTGACAAACTTGATATATTTAGTTGTCGAGGCTTCTGTGCAATTTTCAATTAAATATGTGTTTCTGACCTTTGTCCTGATGCTGAAAAATGAATAAGCTGATCTAAGTGGTAGTGGTCTCAGTGCTGTAATGTTCAGACAAAAATCAGAACACTCATCTTTGCAACATTCAACATGGGCCACATTTTCTATAACTTACTCGTTTAACTCGAGTTGTGAGGTCTTGAACAAAAAGCTTCCTCAAGTTGTGCAAGGTCTGAAGCTCACGGGCCTTGGTAAGAAAGAGAGAGGGTAGAGAGAGGGTCTCACCAGCGCCAAACCTTTCAGTATTATTCCATGAGTTACATTCCAGATACTTTTCATAGAGGAAATACTCACGACAGTCTCCTCTAGCCCCTTCATGTCCTGCTTGGCCTGCTCATGTCGTTCATTAAGATATCTGTCCACAGAAAGCACATCCCAACAATTTTAGTCAATTATAGTTTCATAACTCTTAGAATATGCCCCTGTGAACTGTTTACATCATATTATAATGGGAATGTCTACTTAATAATCAACACACTTATTGTCATTGCAGAGGAGAAATTTTCAGGCTTGAACTTTCAACATACAATGTACATTCCAACCTCCATGTTGCACTGTTATACTATACTATTCCCGCTATGCTCTACAATGCATAAGCATTAAACCAACCTCTTTGAGCAGCATTACTTATCAAACCCATCATTATCTGGGGCTTTCTTATTTGGCATTGATCTCAGGGCCTGTCTGACTACATCTTCCAGCACTTCTTCAAAGGTTCTTCTGTATAGCCAATATCAACAAAAGTGTCTTGGCAACTGATATCTTTGTTGTAGAGGTCTTCCATGTATTCCTTACATCTTTTTAAATTTTTATTATGTCTGCTTATATTTGTCCACATTAATCAAGTACAATTAAAAAATCATATTACTTGTCATTGATTTTCAAATCATATAAGAAAAACTAGCTAACTGACATTTCTACTCCACCTTAACAGACTGCAATGGTCAAAGCTCTAGACAAAATGAATTGTTTGTCAACAGAGCAATTTGTATCTTATATTTTTGTGAATCACCCCAAAACACACACACACACACACACACACACACACACACACACACACTCACACTCACACTCTCTCTCTCTCTCTCTCACACACACACACACACACACAAGAGTTAAACCTGTGCCAACTCCCTTTTTCGACCCAGTAGCGAATTAAACAACAAGGTGTCAATTTGAAAACAATTGAACACATCTGAACAGCAGATGAGACGCTTCAGCTTATTTTCTTCAGTTGTTAATTGTTCTATTACTCTTAAGTGACCACATCTGACGCCTTGACCGGTCCACTGATTTCATTGGTCAGCCTTTTAACGATAGTTTGGCGGCTTTTATTATGTACTGCCGCAGAAGTAAGGCTCCCGTAAGTTATGCTGTCTGCTCTACCGCTGTATCTGAAGATTCACGTTCACGCTAATTCGACATACAATGTGGAAGAACAAGCTGCTCCTCTTGATCTCAGTAACGCTGGCCTCTTTAGCGTTTTGTCAGGAAACCGCTCAGAAAGCTGACTTTCCCTCTGAAGTGACCGCTGGAACAGCCCGGCTCGGGCGGCTGGTTGTTGGGAAAGGAGTAAAGCTGCTCTCAGGAGGAGCAGAGAAAAATAATGGCAGTGAAGTGCAAGATGGGCTTACCGACCACTCCGAAGGATACCAGTCTGATCAACAGGGGTCAGCGGGTAAGTGCTAAAGCAGTCACGGGCTGACTAAGCTAGGCAAGCAGAACAAAATGATAGTCGACAGAAGTGAATCAAGTCAGTCCTGTAAGTTCTGCTGCACAAAACGCGTCTTCTGATTTCTGAGTTCATACCTGGCGTGTAAAACTGTGTAGGGATATGCAGACTTTGTTTGGGGATCAATCCTAAAACGACAATTCTAGTGTTTGGCTGTTCCCTTTAAGCAGTAAACGTGCATCCTTATCATTAAGCAGATGGTGAAAAATTGAGTGTAGAATAAGAACTTCTCGCCATGACAGGCACGCAGTGAATGTTCTGTAGTGGCAGATCACTTGGATTTATTTCCCTCAACAGTTCATTTGTGGCAGTTTAATACTAATGCAGTGGCTTTTGGATACCTTTTTGGTTTTTTTTAATGAATTTTTACTATAGAGAATACAGAATTCCCCTTTACCCAAAAATATTGATATTGGCCTTGGTATTACTTGGTATTGGATTGAAATTTAGTGTTTGTCTGTCTAAAACCATGCCACTAAACCCCTCTCCATGCCCTGAACTTTGTCCTCAAAGTAGCTTATTGCTGATCATCTCTAAATGAGACTACCATTTTGGCCAGCTGAGGCAAATTGACTGAATTTGATAAACTTCAAATGATCACCTTTTTTGCACAAGACTGAATTGGGCTTATTTGAGTGTTCCATTCTGCCTTTGTGGTTATATGCTGGCACCTTGAATGGAAGTTTGGAATAAGAAGCCTAATTCAGCCTTGGGTTTTCAACACTGATCAGTAGTTAAATGCCCTCAAGGCTCATGAAGCTGTTTCTGCGGCATGCCTACATGTTTCACAATGCATGTTCTCCTGGCTTTGATTTCTCAACTCAATTAAAACAAATGCGCTGTTTGGGCGAGTTCCCATACCCCATGCTGGCTGATCTTCCTTTAGCATCCATTTAATATGAGCACTAAGCAGGCAGCTTTCTTAATTCAGAAGCATCTGTTTTAAAACTGTTGGCGCTTTAAGGCCAAAAAAGGAGAAATCCTGTGCTACTCTGATCTTGTTTCTTGTCCAATTCTACACATGTTGCATGGTACAAAGCAGCAGAATCCAAGTTGCAGCGCTTGAATCCTTCCGTGCATTGTGGAGATGATGCTATGGCTCTGCATGTTCAAGGATCTAGAGTGCCTAACTTCATGGTTGACAGAGGTGGGTTTATTGACCTCCACTGGTTTAATAGGTTGATTGGGCCAAATTGTGCAATATGGCTTTTTTTTTTCTCCCCTCAGGTGAAGATGGTCTGCTTCCTGTGTCGCAGATGCCTGCCAACTGTGGTTTCTCAGTGAAAAGGGCTCGCAGGGATGTTCTCCTAACTGCTAATTATAAAGGCTGTCATGTTATGCAAGAGGTCTGTGCTTATGTAAAGTTGCTAGTTTGGCAATTTTTACAAGCCTACACATCCCTACCACGTCTGGTTGCACTAATATTGGTTATTCTAAGATGTTCTAGATCTACTGTCTCTATTGCAGGGTGAGGCCTACGTTTTGACACTGCGTTTGTGGGGAGCTCCCGTGAGCATATCCTGTCCTATGGCTACCTCTACACCTGAGACAAATGCTACAACTCCAGCCACTGAACCCATCTTGGCCAGTGACCCTCAACAGCCTGGGCAAGTGTTCCCAGGCTACATGCCTCTCCATCATAGATACCACTTTTACAAATATGGTTATCCTTGGGCTACCCCCACAAGCACTGCTACCTCGACAACCCCTACTCTTCCTGCCAGTGATGCCCAAAAGCCTGTCTCTCCTTTTGATAAGATCTATCCCTTTGGCTATGTTCCTCATTGGCATCCTTATTACCGATACGGTTACCCATGGGCTCGTCCCACACGTACCCCTACAGTTGCTCCAACCACTACAGCTAGCACTGCTACCTCAACAACCCCTACTCTTCCTGCCAGTGATGCTCAAAAGCCTGTCTCACCTTCTGATAAGATCTATCCCTTTGGCTTTGTTCCTCATTGGCATCCTTATTACCGATATGGTTACCCATGGGCTCGTCCCACACGTACCCCTACAGTTGCTCCAACCACCACAGCCAGCACTGCTACCTCAACAACCCCTACTCTTCCTGCCAGTGATGCTCAAAAGCCTGTCTCACCTTCTGATCAGGTCTATCCCTTTGGCTTTGTTCCTCATTGGCATCCTTATTACCGATACGGTTACCCATGGGCTCGTCCCACACGTACCCCTACAGTTGCTCCAACCACTACAGCCAGCACTGCTACCTCAACAACCCCTACTCTTCCTGCCAGTGATGCTCAAAAGCCTGTCTCACCTTCTGATAAGATCTATCCCTTTGGCTTTGTTCCTCATTGGCATCCTTATTACCGATACGGTTACCCATGGGCTCGTCCCACACGTACCCCTACAGTTGCTCCAACCACTACAGCTAGCACAGCTACCGTGACAGCCCCTACTCTTCCTGCCAGAGACGAAGAGCCTGGCTCTCATTTTGATCAGTTTTATCCTTTTGGCTTTGTTCCTCACCGCTACTGGCATCCTAATTACCAAAAAGGTTATCCAAGTGATTGCCTCACAAGTACTCCTACAGTGGCCCCAACTACTACAGCTAGCACTACTACCTCAACAGCCCCTACTGTTCCTGCCAATGAACCCTCAAGAGCCTGGCTTTCCTTTTGCTAAGGTGTACCCTTTTGGTCATTTTCCTTACCACCAATGGCGTCCCCTTTTCTAAAATGTTTATCCATTGGCTTGCCTCAAGTACTGCAATTCTTGCCCCAACTACAGCTGGTACAGGTACTTCAATAGCCCCTACTTTTCCTGCCAGTGACTAGCAAGATGCTAGCTATTACCAGTGTGGGTGATTTTGTGGGCACACCCCACAAGTACCCCCTACAGCTGCCCTAGCAACTACAGTTGGCAGTCACCTCAACTGCTCCTCTTGTCCTTGCTAGAGACCACCAGTCTATTTCCTTTTGCTCAACTTCAATATGCCAGTGTTTGTTGGATTGATTTCATATGTCCTTTTTCACAGTCTGCTAAATATTTTAGTCAGTAAAGCTTTCAGGTTGTCTAGGGTTTGTGGTCTGTCTTTCACTGTAATACTTGCTTGGTCACATCTTTTATGCAATAAAGTGACTAAATGACAAATACTGGAGTGCATGTTCTTGGGGTTGAATGTCCTGCTACAGGTTGCAGAAAGCCCTAACTTTGGGTTATAAGTTTCAATGTTTGTTTTTAAACATGTATCTGCCTCAGCTGGGTACGCCTCAATTCACATTTTGCTTGTTGCCACATATGACAAATCCAACATCTGTGGAAAAATTATTGCAGTTAGCTCAAATAATTGAGAATCTAAGTATGCAATAATTGTCAGATAATTCATGATTAAATTCAGCCTTAATGTAGTTTAGTGGCACATCTTATGGGAATGTTTTTTCACAATATCTAAAATATTACTTGAGAAAGTGTCATTTAAAAAAGTCACTTGTCCTTGATTTTCAAATCATATATGAAAATGTCATGAAAATAGCTAATTGACTTGTCTAATTAAAATGCAAGTTTGAAAATGCTAATTCATTTGTAATTCAAGTGTATTTGCAACTGCATTTCCCATGAGTGTGCATTATTTAGAACAAATCAAATTTAATTTCATAGCG